CGCTTAGAACAGTGCCTAGTAAGCGCTAGAGATGTGTTTGTTAAATTAAAAATGGACTGTTGGTTGGTTGTTGTCAGGCCTTGGCATTGTGTCCAGTATTGGGAAGTAGAAGACACAGGGGCCCCTGTCTCAGAGATCATCTCAGAGACTGCCAGCCTACCGCTGATTTCAAGGCAGGCAAACAACGTGGCAAAACTGCTCCCCCGCTTCCTTGAACTGGCCAAAATGTGACCACTGGACGGTTTGATGACATTCTTCTTGTGGAGCCTGGTAATGGCTGAAATCCAAAGCCACTCAGAAGATGATTAAGATCATTCTGTGGAGTATTCTGTCTCCTAAAATTTGAAACTAGAATTGTTATGCAGATGAGGAAATTTTTAACCCTGAGAAGTGAAGTAACTTACCTAGGACATGGCAGCATGATAGAAAAAAGCCTAGATTGCCTTGAACAGGCTGTTAGTAGAAATATGGATATTAAAGACTGTTGGTGAGGGCTCAGAAGGATTAAGGACAATTATAGAGAAATCCTAAGTCACTTTAGAGAAAGCCTAAAAACCATAAAGAGACTTAGAAATCTGGACTTGAAGGCCATGAGGAATGGATGCATGTGGAATGGATGGGAATCATGGGGGCCAACAGAGGATGGATTGTGGTAAGCAGAATTTTGGCCCCCGTGATCTTTGCCCTCTGGTGTTACTCCTGTGGTTATATTATGTTACATGGCAAAGGGGACTTTTCAGATATAATTAAAGTTACTAATCAGCTGACTTTAAAATAGGGAGATTATCCTGGATTATCCAGCAGGCCCAGTGTGATTGTATAATCCCTTAAAAGCAAAAGAGGAAGCATGAGAAGGACTTGCAGGTGGAGGGGGCAGTGTGATGAGGAATGCAGGTAGCCATAAGGAGCTGAGAGAGGCTTCTAGCTGACAGCTAACAAGGAAACAAGGACCTCAGCCCTAAAGTGACAAAAAAATGAATTCTGCCAACAACTTGAATGTGCATGGAATCAGATTCATCCCGAGAGCCTCCAGAAAGGAATAGAGCCCTGCTGACACCTTGATTTTGTTTTCGAGGAACTCGAAATAGAGGACTGAGTTCAGCCATGCTATACCCAGACTTCTGACCTCCAGAAGTGTAAGATAATAAATTTATCTTGTTTCAAACCACTAAATTTGTAGTGATTTGTTATGACACCAATAGGAAACTAATATAGAAGTCCTTATTCAACTTTCAACATTGTGATGTCTACTGGAAGTTTACTGGGGTTGGGGTAGGAAGAGATGAGGGGGAGGCCAAAAGATAAAAGGCCCTTTCTGGCCTCTATGAGTATTCATGGTTTTTATAAAAGACTGTCTTTTGAAAAATAAAAAAAGGTCATAGAGGCACAACGGGTGCTTCTAGTGGGTTTCTAGAGGAGATTCTGTTCTTATTTACATCAGTGCTACAGGGTTATTATTTACTCTCCAGTTTATTAGCCTGCCATGAAAGCAGCATTTCTTAGCACAGTTGCAGATAGATGCTATAACAATGAGGTTAGGAAAGGGAGCATCAGACAGCCTGGACTGTGGGAGTGGGACTTAGGTGTCCCTGGAGACTCCCAAGTCCTTCAGAGGGGGACCCTGAGGGCCAAGTACTGGCAGCTGGGCCCCAGATGTCCACAACAGAAAACAGAAAGAGCAAGATATCTAGGGATGGAGGCCTGGTCTGGAGGCCCAGCTGCCACTTCCAGGCTGTGATATGTGAAATTCACTCCTCCTAACTTCTCCTGGTCTTCCTATCATAAAATGGGGACAAGAAGACCCACCTGGAGGAACTGTAGCCCCAATTAAATGACCTGATGCATGTGGAAGCATTTTGTCAGCTGTACAGCATCACATAAGTCATAGTTGGGATTATATCTGACACAAACCTTAAATCAACAGACATCAATTGAGTTCTTCATACAAAATGCCTTAGCGAATACAAAGGAGACCCTGCCTTGGCCCCTGCTGAATGGCGGATGTGGCTGCTGATGTGGGACCCCCAACCAGAGGTTAAGTATCCCAGAGGGTTTCTATCTCCTTCATGGCTCCAGTGCGGGGCAGGGGCAGGAAAAGGCAAGCTGCCTTCCTACTTCCTTCCCACTTCACCCAAGGTGATTTTCTTGGGAGATGGGGTGGGGGAGGCTGAGGTAGAACTACATTGAGGGATTTGTGGCATTGTGATTTCTGAGTGATTTTTAAGGTGCATAACATTTCTCCAGGAACATGCTGTGAAGTGTGTGCATGCATATACGCATATAGTGGTGGGAATGGGAAGAGGCCCCGGTAGCATATACAGAAACACTGAAATTAATTGAAGTGAGAGATCCATTATTCATCCATAAAAAGAGATCCATTCTGTTGAAGGTCAGGTTCCTTCTGACTGTGGAATCCCAAGTGCCCGTGGACTGCAGGTAAGATCTGGACAGAATGTACCTGTGTTCCTTCCCACTCCATTCTCTGTTTCTGGGAGGTCTGGAATGGTTGGTTCTGTAAGTGGTTAAGTTCACAGGGCTTGGCTTTGATAACATCAGGAATGGTGCATGTCTGGTTTCCACAGGTGAGTAGACAAGGAGTGTTTTCAAAAGCTGTGGTATCTGAAAATGATTATGGGAGTATCTGGAATCATTTAGGGAAATTTCCAGAAGCATGCCAACTTCTAGGCAGCAAATATAAATAAAAGAGAAAAAATAAAAGCATTTGGCAAACTTCCCATCCCTAGGACTTGTTTATAGGGGAATTCATTATCTCACAAAATAAAAAGTCCTAAGGAAGAGTGGTTTTGTGGCAGATCAATTAAACGGCTTGACAACCGATCCAGAACCCAGGTTCCTTCCATCTTTTTGCTCTGCCACCTTAGAAGGTTGTTATTCCTCAGACAGACTTGTCTCTTCCTGACTACAAGGTTGCTTTAGCAGTTCCAACCACTTTATTCTTAACAATAAGGTGGGAAAAGCTATTTTCTCTTGTGTCTGTTTTTTAAAGATTTTTAAAAACTGAAATAAAATTCACATAACATAAAATGAATCATTTTAAAGGGAACAATTCAGTGGCAGTACATTCACAGTGTTGTACAACCACCACCTCTATCTAGTTATAAAACATTTTCCAAAAGGAAGCCCCATGCATTAAATAGGGTTTAACTGAGCAATCGTTGCGCATTCCTCCTCCTCCAGTGCCAGGCAACCGCTAATCTGCTTTCTGTCTCTATGGATTTGCCTTTTCTTGATGTTTCATGGAAATGGAATCATACAATATGTGACCTTTTGTGTCAGGATTCTTTTATTTAGTGTAATGTTTTGAAGGTTCATCTGTGTTGTAGCATTATCAGTATTTCTTTTTATGGCTGAATAATATTCCATTGTATGGCTAGACCACAATTTGTTTATCTAGTCATTCACTGATGGACGTTTGGGTTGTTTCCACTTTTTGGCTATATCAATAATGCTGATATAAATATTTATGTGAAAGTTTTTGTGTGGACAAATGTTTGTATTTTGGGGGAGTAGATACCTAGAAGTAGAATTGCTAGGTCATGATAATTTTGTTTAATTTTTTTGAGCAGCTGCCAAACTGTTTTCCACAGCAGCTGTACCGTTTTACATTCCCACTAGGAGTGTATGAGGGTTTCAGTTTCTCGACATCCTCACCAACACTTATTTTCCTTGTTTTTGGAAAATCCTAGTGGATGTGAAGTGGTACCTCATTGTGGTTTTGATTTGCGTTTCCCTAACGACTAATTATGTTGAGCATCTTTTTATGTGCTTGTTGGCCATTTCATGTGTCTATTTTTAAGCTTCCCTCTAGAACTCACAAGATGGTCACACTTTATTTCTCTGGGCCAAGGAGAAATTCTTCCCCCTTACCTACATGTTATTTGTAGAGCTTTCATATATCATGCTCTTGATATGGTTGCAGGTGTGAAGTAAATGCTGAGTGAGTGAATATACACAAAAAAGCCACTGCCCACCCATCTATCCTATTATTCTTTGCTAATAGAAGCCTAGTTGGGTTCAGGTAATAGGTAGCCATGTGATTCAGGGGAGGCTAAACCATTCAGACACTGGTTGGCTCAGTATATAAACACTCTAGTGCTGAACTCAGGGAGGAAAAATGATATCAATAACAGGGCCAGTTTAGCTTTACATTTTTTTTGAAAAATAAAAAAGTGCTATCATGCCTTTTGACCGAATAATGTTACTTCAGAGCATGTGTCATAAGGAAATTACCAAAGTGAGAGAAAAAGTTGTGTGGAGATAATCATAGCCTAGGAAGCTAAATTTTTATAATCCCATTCCCCCTGCCTATGATTGGTTTAGGGTGGACATGTGACCAGTTCTGGCCAATGGGATGTCAAGAGAGGTCTGCTAGGGAGACCTCTGGGAAAGGTTTCCTCACATGTCAAAGACAGACATTTTTGAGTGTTAGTGTGTGGGATTGTGATGGTTGGAACTGCTTCAGCCACTATGTGACCAGGAAGAGACTGAGGACAAACCCAATATGCTAAGGATGGCGAGCAGAAAGGTGGAAAGAATGTGGATCCTAGATGGAGTCATTGAGCCATTAATTAGCCTTCTCTGAAACAACACTACCTTTGAACTTCTTATTATATAAGACAAGACGTCTCCCTACATTTAAGCCAGTTTGACTCACTTGCAGTCAAAAGCTTCCTAACTGAGACACACAGCATGAACTGGATGGCTCTTCTCTCTCTAGTTTTCATCCAGAAATTTAAAGCTTAGGGTATAATAGCTAACTTCCTGATTTCCACCTAAGTTTTTACTTGTTCAAATAAATGTCAAGATGTGGTGGCTTTGTAATGTGGCAACTTGGCTAAGCTGGTACTACATTTCCGGGAGTTTCCTTCCTTGTATGTTTCTAGTGAGAGAAATTTGCCACAGGAGAAATTTGCAGGAGATTTGGAAGGTGACAGTGAAGCAGTAGCCATGTTTGCTCTCAGCAGGTCAGTGTCGGTCAGGCCCTGTTACAGCTGGTGCACATTTTCATGGATCTGCTGGCACGCCTTGTTTTCACGGCAGCAGCCAGGCTTGCAGTTCCAGTTACTGCAGGATCTCTTCCTTCAGCATCTCCAAATCCTGGGCCAAGTGTCAATGTGGCTTCATGGCAAGAGCACCAGCTTCTCTGCAGGTCACCCAAAGCAGCAAGGTTGGAGGCTTGGAGATGGGGAAAGGCCAATGCAAATTTCAGCTTGTTCCTCGCAGGTTCCAGTTGCCCCTGCTCTCACCTGCCTCACGCCTACCTGACTATAGCCTCTGCACCAGACACAGGAGAAACAACCAAACTGAGACTGTTTTACCAGTTCCCATAATTGCTTAAGGTCAAAGCCCTATAATAAATTCCTATTCTACATAATTCCCAGTGGTTCTCTTTCTCTAACTGAACCCTGTCTGATACACAGAGTCAAGTTTTCCTGACCCCAGGGCTTAGCTTTAGATTTTATATCTAATTTGTAGTAGTGAAAGAAGTTGAAATTAATAGAGGTAAGCTCTCTAATATAGACTCACTTATTCTTTCTGACTTAAAAGAAGACAAGAAAATGTGCTTTCACCATTCTATAGGAACAAATCCTTAGACTGGATGTGAATTATGGGCCACCAGTTTGCAACCTCTGATCTAGGTTTTAGAATCCATCGCTATCTAGAAATTTATGGGTATTCAGTTGACTTGCTGAATTTATCCATTTTTATGTGAATTTTGGGCCTTATTGCCCCAAGAAAGGCTATACTCCTCAGTGTCCAACCTTACTGTATTAATTATCTATGTCCATCAAAATGCTATGTAACAAACCATTGCAAAACTCAGTGGCTTAAAATATTAAGTATAAATTTAACTAATGTGTCTGTGGGTTGGTGATTTAAGCTGGGCTCAGCTGGGCAGTATATCTGGTCTTGCCTGGGCTTACTCACATACCTGGCAATTAGCTGACAGTCAGCTGGTCTAAGGTGGCCTTGGCTAAAATGAGTGGGGCAACTCAGCTCTGCTCCACATGTCTCTCATCCGACAGCAGGCCATCCTGAGCATGTTCTCATGGTGATGGCAGAGGGCAAGAGCAAGCCAGTCCACTCATGGAAGCTATTTTCAAGCCTCTGTTTGTGTCATGTTCTCCCATATCCTGTTGTCCTAAAGTAAGCCATGAGACTGAGCCCCATGGCACAGCAGGGGAACACTACAAAGTTACATGGCAAAGTGGATACAGGGAAAGGTAAAGAATTGGGGCAATTTTTGCAATCTATAACAATTACCAACACTCTCTGCTGAGAGGTGATTAAGTAATCATGTCAGTTGCTGTTATTTCCAGAACCATTTCATTTCCAATATCTAGATTTCTCAAGACTTTGAATTGCCATGTTAGCGCATGTTGCAAATTGTTCATTGTCAACCCATTACGTTCAAGCCTTGAGCTCAGCAGCCGCTCTCATTAGGATAAGTAGTTGCCTTATAAAGCTGCAGCTTTGTGCAATGAGCTTGCCCTCTTCTTTTCTTCTCAGATATCTTATGGAAACAAACAAGTAAGGGATAGCAAAAACAAAAACCCCAGGGGTGAAGAGTTGCTGAACAGTGACAAACAGACAAATGTATACTGTTAGGCTGAGAATAAACTGAGTGATGGCCAAAATTGCCTGATTTATCCATCAGGAATGATGAGAAGATCAACTCTAAGCCAGTTGCTTATATTATTGCTTATTTTTAATTGCACTGGTTTTATAGACAGTAATTTTAAATTGTAGGCTGGAGAAAAAACAAGTTTCAGGTTCTTGAAATTCTTGGTAGTTTTTCTATTCAAGGAGTCTGTTCCTTAGCAATTTTTCTAAGAGATATTCATGTATTCATTAAAGGTGCCCACTGCATATTTATCTTAGTTTGGGTTCCCCCAGAAGCCAGGTCTGAGACAAGGATTCAAGTGCAAGTAGTTTATTTGGAAGTACAGGAAATGCCAGTAGGGAAATGGGGAAGTGAGACAAGGATGGGGAGGCAGCCGATAAAGGGTACATTATCAAGCCTGTTAGCTCTGTAGGCAACTCGAGAGCATAATCTTGTTGTGGAACTCTGGGAAATAGTGTAGAACATATATTTCAGAGTTACTCCAACTAAGGGGTGAGGAAGCTGGGATATTTATACATCAGTCAATTCCAAACAGTCACTGGTTGAGAGCGGTTCCTCTGGGGACATTAATTCCCTGGCACTTCTGACCTGAGAAATGGGCAGGTAAAGTAGGCTTCAGCAGCCAGAGAAATCCATCAGGCAAATGCAGGTGTTGGCTGTTGGAAGTTGGGTGAGGGCATAAGGGCACACCAGCAACAGAGCCTGCTCTAATTCCCTTGGATATGCTGTGATACCCAAACTATAGGTATTAGAACAGTTCTTCCGTCTACAAAAAGTTCACCTTTTCTACTTGAGTGAAGCACCAAATTGTTAACTTTTCATTGGAGAATAAAATGCAATAAGATTAATACATTTTCCAGTGTGATCAAGGTATAATTGATGTACAATAAACTGCAGATATGTAAAGTGTACAGTTTGATGAATTTGACATATGCATGCACATCAATGAATCTTGCCTGCAGCAATTATTGCTGTGGTGTTCTAAGGGTGATTTTTCTATTTCTCTCATTCTTTCTACGTATGTTAATTGAAATTCTTCTGTGAGGAATATTTGTTTTTTCTGCCTCATTTATTTATTCCATCATTTATTTATATCACTATGGACTCATAGATATTTATTTTATTCTTTGGGTTATAGTCCAATACTATCATTATTTATTTTGTTGCTCAAATTGTTCCACCTGTGGCAATTGGAAGCTCTTTCAGGTTGACTCTGGTGTCCTTTTGACATCATTTTTTTTAAGCACCTCCATATATTTCTTTTAATTGAGTATTTGATGCATTCGTAAGGAGTTGTGAATGCCTCTGTATTGGTTAGCTTTAGCTTGGCTGCATGTAACAACTAACTAACTCAAATTAACAGTGTCTTAAACAAGATTGAATTTTATTTTTCTGTCTTGATATACCATGTTCATGGATCAGAAGGCTCAAAATTGTTAGGTTGTTAATGCTTCTCAAATTATTTATAGATTCAAAGCAAACCCAGTCAAAATCCTAGAATTCTTTTTTATAGAAACTGGCAGACTGACTCTAAAATTTATATGGAAAATTAAAGAAACTAAAATAACCAAGACAATTTTGAAAACAAAAATGTCAAATTTGGAGGACTCTCACTATCTGATTAGAAGACTTACTATAAAGCTACAGTAATCAAGACAGCATGGCATTGGCATAAGGCTAGATATATCAGTGAAACAAAATATAGAGTCCAGAAATTGTCCACTACATATATTGTCAATTAATTTATAACAATGGTGCCAAGAAAATTCAATGTAGAAAGAGGGTAATCTTTCAACAAGTGGTGCTAGAACAACTGGATAACCATATGCAAAAAAAAAAATGAACTTCAACCCTTACCTTGTACCATATGTAAAAATTAATTTGAACTATATCATAAATAAAAATGTAAGCATTAAAACTATAAAAATTCAAGAAGGAAACATAAGAGAAAATCTTTAGAGTCTTGGAGAAGGCAAAGTATTCTTAAATAGGACATAAAAATCACAAACCATAAAAGAAAAATCTGGTAAATCAAACTTCAAAATTAAAAACTTCTGTTTTTTTGATGACACTGTTGAGAAAATGAAAGGACAAGTTTCACTTTCAGAGAAAATATTTACAAAGCACATATCTCATGAAGGACTTACATCCTAAATACAACTTAATACTAAGAAGACAATTAATTAAAAATATGGGCAAAAGGTTTGAAGGCACATTTTACAAAAGAAGAAATACAGATGGCATATAAACACATGAAAAGATGCTCAATATTATTAGTCATTGGAGAAATGCAAATTAAAACCACAGTGAGATACACTACACACCTACTAGAATGGGTAAAATGAAAAATTCTGACACTATCAAATGTTGGAACTCTTACACATTGCTGGTGAGTGCAAATGGTGGATTCTTATAATATTAAACATACATTTATCATACCACCCATCAATCCCATTTAAGAGAAATGAACTATGTCCACACAAGGACTTGTACGCAAATAGTTATAGTAGCTTTACTTATAATTACCAACACTGGAAACACCTAAAATATCCATCAGCTGATGAATGAATAAACAAATTGTGGTAACTGAGTGACAAAAAGACACAAACTACTGATACATGCAATGACATGGATGAATGTCAGAAGCATTATGCTAAGTGAAAAAAGCCAAACACAAAAGGCTGCATACTGTATGATTCCAATTATGTGACATTCTGGACAAGGTAAATTATTTGGACAGAAATCAAATCAGTGATTGCTAGTGGCTAGAGATGGGGAAAGGGATTAAATGCAAAGGAACATGAGGGAAATTTTGGGGGTGGGATGGAAATGGTGTACATCTTGAATGTGGTGATTGTTATAGGACTGTATGTAAATTCATCAAAGCTCATCGAACTGTACACCTAAAAATGGTGAATTTTACTGTATGTACATTATACAGTAAATCTGGCTTTAGGGAAAAGAATTTTATTTTTCTCTCAGGTGAGAGAAATCTGGAGGTAGTAGGCCAGGGTAGTGTGGTGGCTTAATGTTGTCACAGGAAGCCTGGTGAGTATCATTCTGTTTTATAATCCTTAGCATGTGGCTTCCCTTCTTTAAGTCACTTCATGGTCCAATATGGTGCCTTGGATCTCCAGTAATCACATTCATATTCAGGCAGTAGGATGGAGAGGGAGGTAATTAAGGGAATTATCACTCCTTTAAAGAAACTTCCTGTAATCCATACATATATCCTTTTACATTTCATTGGCCAATACTTAGTCACTTGGCTACATCTAATTGCAAGAGAGACTGGGGAAATATAATCTTTAAGTTAGACCATGGTTATATTGACTAAAACTGGGGTTCTATTACTAAAA